GTGTGGCATTGATTTGTATGGTCGCCGAGCTGGTGGGATTTGGTTGTGACCCCAGTTCTTCCTGCATTTGGGAGTTTTAAGGGATGTGGGCAGTCACATGAGATTTCGGCTTGTGGGGAGCTTGTGGGGTGAAACTCAGCCTGGGGGCCCCCAAGGGAGAGGCCTCTGGGGCACGATGCTGAGCTGGATGTCTGTGCAGGGACGGGCCACCTCCCCACCTCTGAGAGGCGGAGTCCCCACCCTGACTGGTCGTGTCCCACTTATGCCTGACTGCAGCTTAGCCCAGAGAGGGGCTTGCTCGAACCTGTTTGGATACTTTCTTCCTAGCTTGGATTATCTCCCTGCTAATGCTTTCTTTGTGGGCTTGAGGCCCAAAATCAAACCTACCATTCTAGGATAAAAATGATCCTGTTTTAATCACTTGTATTTGTTTTTTTTTTAATCAAAATGGAATACTTTGCAGTTATTCACAAGGTCTTATTTTTATTTTATTTATTTATTTTTTTAAAGATTGTATTTATTTATTTGTGAGACACACACACACACAGAGAGACAGAGAGAGAGAGACAGAGACACAGGCAGAGGGAGAAGCAGACCTCATGCAGGGAGCCTGATGTGGGACTCAATACCAGGTCCCCAGGATCAGGCCCTGAGCTGAAAGCGGCACTAAACGGTGGAGCCACCCGGGCTGCCCATTATTTTTAAAAGAACTGTTTCCTTGGTCTTTCTGGCTCTGTGTGTGTGTGTGTGTGTGTGTGCGCGCGCGCACGTGCGCTTGTGTGTGTTTAAGGCTATCAAAGCATTGATAGGAAAACAGAATTTTTTTTTTTATAAGAGCACAGCAGTTCTTTTTAAACTGACTTAGAAGACATGAAAATGTATGTGTTTTGATCTTCTTTCTCTGGATTAGAATACGAAGGATCAGTTGTTGCAACAGACAGTAAGCAAAGTAATTCATTTCCGATGCATTTTGGCAAGCCAGCCTTCTAGAAGAGGCCAGAATGAAACACGGAGCCGAGGGAGACAGACCAGACCAGAGACCTACCTGATGTATCAGCAAAACACAGACCCAAAGTGCAGGAATAATAACAGGAATGGGAGTAATAGTAATGGTGAGGGTAAGCGTGATTGGGATGGCTGCTGTCTATTCAAGCACTTAGGGGGTGCCAGGCTCCTTCCCCATCACTGTCCGTGGATTATCCATCCTCCCTGCAGTTTGCTTGCAGTTGCAGGTGCACTATCCTCATCATCATCCCCAGTTCTCAGATGGGGAACTCAGGTGGGCTTGGGGTCAGGCCTTGGAGCCAGAATAAGAGCCCCAGCTGGTGGGATGACCCCCGTGTTCGTAGCCACCACCCCACTCCTGAGCAGTTGGCATGTGGAACCCCTCCCCCATGGAGACCCCTCTCTCCCCGCACCCCGGCTCTGCCTGTGACCCCGCAAGCAGGTGAGACCTGGAGACAGTGACTCCGGAGTGAGCCGGATGATCATTTTTTGTTTCCATTGTTTCAATAACTCAGGCAAACGTTGGGGGAGCTTTGACACGAAGTATCTGGATAGCTGCTTCTATTTTAGGTGTTTAGACGCAACTTTTCATGCAATTTGAAAATCCAGCTCTACTTGGGGAATTTGGATATTTACCCATCTCTAACTTTGTTTCCTCAAATTCCTGACTCCTTAGGCTTCCAGTTAAGAGCTTAATTGCCCCCAGCATAACATCCTCCAACTCCCATGCTCATCAGACTTGAAAGTCAGTTCAGGTTTTGGGCAGATTGACGTCTCCTTGTGAAATGAGAGCTTGAAACTGGGTGATCTCCCAGGTGTGTGGTTCTGTTCCGGAGGCTTCCATACCCAACGGGATGGCAGACGCCGGCTCTCTTCTGCCTCCCTCCTCAAGGCCTAACCCTGGTGACGAAGCAGGTGGGTCTGAACGAGATGCCACAGTTTCATTGATGTGAATGGAAATTACTGGCCAGAAAATATCCATGAAAGATAGGTATGTGAGAGCTTCATGCTACCTTTGAACAATGTTCTTATTTTCTTCTTTGAAATCCCCCGAGAGGATTTTAAGGAGGATGGAAGCATGCGCTCGCAGGAGTCCTGGCACATTACCGCATCCTCCGGCATGAGTGCAGAATGAGGCGTCTGGAGGCTGCTGTCGCGTCGCCCAGGCTGGGGGCCTGCATGCCCGGCGATGCTCTGAGGCCAGCCGGTTACTCTGGGATTTGCAAACAGCTCCTCTGCTCCATCTGCAAAGCCTGTTTGTGGCGGGGGGCTGGTCAGACCCCAGGAAGGGTGGGGGCAGATGGGGCCAGAGCAGGAGCCCGAAGCCGAGGTGTGTGCCCATGCAGGTTCTGTGGCCAGAAGGCCCCGCAGGGTCCCCAGGGAGGTGGCCAGCCGTCCAGGCAGGGGTGCCGCCCTGACCAAGCCGAAACGGCTCCATCTCTTTTCCAGATTGTGTTCAGTGAATGCTTTTGGCCACTTCTAGCATCTTGGGGATTTGTTCCCAGTCGTTCACTTTTGCTTCAGGTTTTACGACTGCAGAAAGGGTGTGAAAACCTCAGAAACACTGAGTCGGCCACGGACGGTCCAGCCGGGTCATAACTGTCATCAGAAAGTGAAAGTCATCCCGGTGGAGGAACATTTAGAAAAGAGATGAGCCCCCATCCCCGTGTGACAGCGTCGAGGCGTTTCTTCCGGCCGGCGTGGGAGGGGAGCGTGGGGAGGGCCTGGGAACAGACGCAGAAGCTGGGCCAGATGTGTCCTGGCGGCAGTGGTGCAAGAGCGTCCGGGGTTCGAGCCCCGGTTTGTGTGAACTGGGGGGGCCGGGAAGCGACTGGGCCATGCTGGCCACCCTGCCCGCCCCAGCCCCGAGCCCTGCGGCGGACTCCCCCCACCCGTGGACCCCAGGAAATCCCTCGAATTAATTAAATCGAGGCACGCATTGGATTTTAGGGGGAATTGGTGTTTTCTCCCTCCTGAAGTAGAGAAATGGGGACAGGAGCAGGTGGGCCACAGAAGGAGAAGAGAGAGAAAGCAAGGAGGGCAGGGGGAGGCAATTTGGGTTTTTGGTGCACTTTCCGAACTTGGCGTCTTTGAAATGTTTCCAGAGCCTTTACAGGAAGGAAACGAAAATGATCCGAAGGGCGGAGGGGTTTTTCATTTCCCTTTTGTTTGGGACTCAGTCCTGGGGTTTGTGGCATCGCGCGCCGAGAAATGGGGGCGTCCTAGTGCGTTCGGAAACATGCTTGAGACGGGGCAGGGGGTGTCATCAGAGCTGAAGATGGGTAAACACAGAACGGAAGAAGCAAACCTCTGGCCGCAGATAAGAATCCTATAATTTATGAAGACATAGCATTTTGTGTCTTCTTAAGTACGAAAGCTAATTTAGAAGAGGGGTGACATTGGCGGGAATGAGGTGCTGTCACAGGCCCCTGCACACCTGGGGCGGTGGGGGGGCCCTCGCAGGGGTCGGGACCCTGGGGCCAGCACACAGCCCCATGCTGGAAGCTGGTGCAGGCCCTGGAGACACCAGGAGGTGGGTTTTCGGTGACGGAAGGATTAATCCTAGAGACGCAGGATTTCAGCATGGCAGGATTTTAAGTTCTCTTTTAAATACCACCACCACCACCCCCCCGCATTTATTGGGAATTCTCTGTTTGCAACGTGCTGTATTTTTATATGTGTTGTTGCCTGCCTCCTGCCTGCCTTTCTGATTTTCTCCCTTTACGAAGAGGTGGTAAGTGTGAATAGAAGAGACACTCTTGCTGCTGTTGAGCTCACAGGACAGTGGTCAGGGCGGGGGCCAGTCCAGGAAACACACACAGAGATGGGAAGGGTTGGACAGATGAGTGTGGGGTCCGACTTGGTCTGGGGCTCGGGGTTGGGGGGCCTTGGCTGACATCAGAAGGGTGACAGGAGTTCATGGGCCAAGCAGGTAGGTGGTGTTGGAGAAGATGGCAGACGGCCAGGGAATGGGGGGGCAGTGGGATGGATGGTAGTGGGGCAGAGGGGGCATCCAGGGCCTCTGTTTCTCCTTTAACCTTCCTGGAGTACGGCGGGAGAGTAGATATGTCCTCAGCCCGGCGGCTCAGAGGTGAGGTGGTCCGCCCAAAGTCAGACGGTGGGTGCAGTGCTTCGGGATCTGCTGGGGACTCTGGGCTGCAGGTGCCCCCAAGCTTCCGTGCTCCTGCTCCGCTCACCACACACTCCTGTCTAAGTCCAGTGCTCCCACAGCCTCTGCCGGGCCTTTGGAGGGATGAGGGAGGCAGCACGTACGCACTCGGGTTATGTCGAGAGAAATTCTTACTGCCTGTGAGCCGACTTTGGGTCTCAACAACTGTACACTCTAGCCAAATATTTATTTTGCAGAAACAGAGACCAGAGCAGTTCTTGATAGGAAGTCAGCCGCAAGGACTTTTTTAAAAATCCAAAAAAAAATTTTTTTTTAAGAGTTGAGACTTTTTTTTTTTGAGCTCTGTGAACATAAGTCCTGACCTTCATAATGATGCCTGAAGGCTTTCCAGATCTTTATGAAAAAGATTCCACTCTTCTGTGGTTAATTTAAAGAGGTTGCTTTGTTTACGCAGAACGGAGGATCTTGCAGCTCAGCTGTCTGATTTCATGTGCTGTGTAGCTGCTCCTAGTCCTCCACTCTGCTATCCCTACCTGCGCTGAGAAAGAGGCTTTTGTCTCCTGGGCTTGCACCCCCCGCCCCCCCCTTCATCCTCGAGACGGGCAGAGATGTGGCTTGAGAGAAACGGAGGTATTCTTGGAGAACGTAACCTTTCCTATAAAACTTACCAAATGTTCACCTCTCCAGCTTCAAGTATGGAAACTCAGGCCTTTTGGAACGTATGGGCCACTAAACACTTCGAGTGTCCCCACTTAATGGAGAGGGGAACTCCTTTGCCGTCGCCTGGGCATATCCACGGTCAGTGTCTGGGGGGATAACTCGTCTCGTCTATAAATAACACTTGCTTGACCTGTTTCTTTTACAGGGTTGTGACTGTGGATGCCAGAGTTGAGTGAGGTTATCAGACACTGAGCCTGTTTTCTAAAATGTGTAAAGGAGGCTTCGAAACCACCACCGTGTAACTTCATTCCTCTGGTGGGTCTCTCCTTCCATCCACGAAGCAGCGCTTGGCTCCGGGTGTCCTGGTGGCATTGGCGTCTTCGTCCCCACGTCCTCACCACCGAGGGCTTCCTCCACTGGCCTATTTCCATTTCTCCAGACCTGGCCCATTTGAAGCCTCTGCGGCTTTCCTCCTTCCTGCCTCGCAGCCAGACTTGGCTGGGTCTTCATACAGCGGGTGGGCAGCCCTCCTGCAGAGCTGAGACCCTCGCAGCAGTGGTGGGAGGGGGAGAAGGAGGAGACATGAGGATGGAGGTCCACTTGCCGGTTCTCGGTGCTCGGCGCCAGCGGCCAGCATCCAAGCACCTCGAGTGGATCATCCCACTTGATGCCTGTGGCTCTGCGGCAGGTGTAGCCTGGTCTCCATTTTGCAGATGAGCAGACAGGCACACAGCGACCAGATGGGCATGTGTGTGTGTTCACATACATCTCACTTTGGTTTTCTGTCTTTTTTCTCTGCCATCACATTCCTCCTTCCATGAGAGCAACATGCCTGTTCTGTGCCCGTGTACCCATCTGATGCTTGATCCTGGGTCATCAGCGTCAGAGCCTCATTTGGCATCAGTGAACAGCACAAGGTGTCCTCCAGGGGCTCTTGTGCTCAGGGCCCCTTGTGCCCTCTTGGGCAGTGGGTGCACGTGGTTATCAATGAGCACGCCCCCCAGGGTTTCCGTAGCAGTAGTAGGGAAGGCAGGGCGCACTCCCAGGCACAGCATTCCTAGTGAAACGGGAATGGGATTTTTTTTTAAATGACAGTTGAATGTTACAGTACGTCCCGTGGGAAGATGCTATCAATGCAAAAGCAACTTGAGAACTAAGGGGATGAAGTGAGGCTTCCATGTCATGTTTGTACTTTGCACAAAGCCCTTTAGTGCCACCAAACCCTGTCTTGAGGGGTGCTGTGGCCTCGGTGCCACCCCCTCAGCCCCAGCCACCTGAGCCGGGGACTGGGACAAGAGTGCACTCATTTCTCACAGAAGGGGAAACTGAGGCTCAGAGATGAGCGCTCCTGTCCTGGGGGCCTTGACCCTGTCCACTGCCCACTTGTCATGCTGTTTTATTCAGTATCTATTACTGCTACTTCACCTTTACTGTCTTTGTGGTGATGAAAGGGATACTTGCCCTAAGTAGACTCGGAAGTCAGATGGAGAAGTGTAAGTGGAGAGCATATCCCTCCGGCTGCCCACCTCCACCTCCCGTGGGCACCCCCTCCCTGCAGGGATGGGCAGTTTGGGCTTCAGCTTGTGTTTAAATCCAGCTCTGTGTCTTACGAGCTGTGTGATTTAGGACAAGAGGCTCCACTGCTCAGAGTGTCCGTTTTCTTACCTGTAGAAGGGGGCAATTGCAGAATGAGACAGTACCTTTAGCTTGGCCTCATCTTCGAGGTGGACAGGAGGCAGCCCAGTGCCTGGCACAGAACAGGTGCTGGGTTCCTGTGGGTTCTCCACCCGCTGCCCTACAGCAAACTCACCTCCAGCACCCACTGGGGCAAGCTGTAATTCTGATGGGCACATTTTGTGTTATTTAGTGACAGATCTGAGCTTACCTTCACTTAAGAACAATGTTGGTAATGTTTGAAATGTTTGAATATTTGAACATGGAAGCTTCAAATTGTCTTGTAGCTTCCTGCAGCCCTTGGCGCACCTCCCACGCCCCTGGAGCACTGGCATACCTACCCACATACCTGGGGGCTGGAGCACCTCCCCATGCCACTGGGGGGGCCGGCATGGCCCCCGATATTCCTGGAGGCTGGTGCATCTCCCCATGCCCCTGGGGGGGTTGGCATAGGCCCCAATATTCCTGGGGGCTGGTACATCTCCCCACACCCCTAGGGGGGTTGGCATAGCCCCTGATATTCCTGGCAGCTGGTGCACCTGCCCACACCCCTAGGGGGGTTGGCATAGCCCCTGATGTTCCTGGCAGCTGGTGCACCTGCCCACACCCCTGGGGGGCTGGCATAGCCCCCAGTATTCCTGGGGGCTGGTGCATCTCCCCATGCCCCAGGGGGGGTTGGCATAGCCCCCGATATTCCTGGGGGCTGGTGCACCTGCCCATGCCCCTGGGGGGCTGACATAGCCTCTGATATTCTTGGGGGCTGGCGCACCTGCCCACTCCCCTGGGAGGGTTGGCATAGGTCCCGATATTCCTGGGGGCTGGTGCACCTGCCCACGCCCCTGGGGTCTCTACATCCAAGCTGGGTTGGTGCTGGAGTGATCCTTGCCTCTTGCCACACCTAGTAAAGGCCAGGCCTGTGGGCAGACAGTGAATGTCCATTGCCTGCAGACAGCAACCTGGAGAAATCTCACTTCACCTTGTTCTAAAACCTTCCCGCGAACATTGAGATTCAGTCATATTCACTCTTGCCATCAAAAAGAAATAAATTCTGAAGAAGTGTTTTCAGGAGGTTCTTCTTATTCAAGGGTTAACCAGATTCTTATTTTGCTTATCTTTGGAAATAAAACAATGTTTAAAACTATTCAGATCAGCAAAGCCATCTGGTGGGGAGTACGCAGCTGCTCCCCATTCAATTGTGCTGCCCTTAATTTATTCATTGAAGGGTGCCGCTGTACATCTGCAAGATCATTATTCGCACTTGGTTCTGAGCATGTGAGCTATGTGTCTATGCAAGACCTCTCTTCTTCTCCCGAACTGAAGGACATCTGGGTTGGGCTTCCTCTGCTCTTCCACGGCCTTCCACTCTTCCTGAATTCCTGTCCAAGCAGGTGGGAGGGTTCTGGGGACTCTGCGTGGGGAGAGCCACCCTGCTCCTTATGGCCCTGAGATGTCATCTCTGTGCCTTATCCTGGGAGCTGCTGCTGCTTTATATTCATTTTCCTGTTTGTGTTAGGGGAACATCGTTGAAAGGCAACTAGAATCTGCCTCTCTTCTTCGCAGTTTCACTGCACAAGAGCTATAATAACCCCATCGACCCACATCGTGTCCCTTTTTCCTGGCAGTTAAGGTTTGTCGTGACAGGTTTTGGAAACCCTGAAAGCGTGCAAAAAGAATCGTAACAATATATCACATACCTGGGTTCCTGAGATCACTGGACTGTTGTGATGTGTCTGCTTCGGGAAGAAGACGTTGAGGGGTCTGAGTGGTGCCGGGGTTTGCATCCAGTCACGCAGCTGGTTAAGGGGCACGGCAGATGCTCCACCCAGGCCTACTGATTCCCAGGATCCCCAGCTCTCTCTCATAGAGAGACTCTATGACTCTCTGAGTCATATAGAGGAGGAGGGGTAGGACATCAAATTCTCTGAGCCACAATTTTCCCATCTGAAGTGGAAATGCTAATTGTGCTGTCCTCTTTAGATTGTCATGATGCGTAAACAAGATAATCCCCAAAGTCCCAGCCTGGTGTCTGGGCATAAGGAAGCCCTAACAAATTTTAGCTCTTGTCACTTTTATCGTTGTCGTAAGTGGCCAAAGCCCCGTCTGGATTATCTGCTAGAAGTTTACCTCTTTACTCATTAATTAAAAAAAAAAAAAAAGATGTAGTGAGTACCACCCGGTGCCAGGCACAGTAGATATTGAAGCTTGTGTGGGAGATCTAGTGCCTGCACTGATTTGAATTCAGGGCTGTCACCAACCCTGCCATTGTAGAGCTTACAGGTAGAGTCACGGAACTGCAGCAGCACCTCTTGCTGCCCCGGGAGCCTCAACTTCTGAGTGGCTTTCTCCCAGAGCCGCTGTCTTCCATGGTGGTGTGCTACGGGACAGAGCTCATGGCTTTGCAGCCAAACAGGCCTGCAGTTGCATTTTGGTTCTCTGGGTATGTGTTCACCCCAGCTGTGCCTCAGTGGGCACACAGTAACATGTAACATGGGGGTCCCAGTGCTGAGCCCAGAAAGTTGCCATCCAGAGGGGAACTCACATTGGGGCACCTGGGTGGCTCAGCTGGTTGAGGTCTGACTCGTGATTTTGGTTCAGGTCATGATCTCAGGGTTTTGAGATCGAGTTCCGTATTGGGTTCTGCTCTCAGCACAGAATCTGCCTGAAATTTTCTCCTGCCTCTGCTCCTCTCCACACCCCCCTTCAAAAAAAAAAAGGGACCTCACATGGTACTCTTGTCCTCTGGGGTCCCTGAAAACCACATTTTGAGGTATACATCCCAGTCTGCACAAAGGGTGATATTGAATTTTGAATGCCTTAAAACAGACTGAACGTTGCTTCCTTGAAATGCTTTCCCTTTATGTGACGGCTGTTGCTTCTTGCCAAGAGCCATTAGGTGGGCAGGCTTCGCAGCAGATTGTGAAAGCTCGTCTCTGGTAGGTTCTACCTTAATAGAAAACCACCATCAGTAGATCTGTAAGCTTGAGTGGAAAATCTAGTACCTCAATCTAGGATGGATTTGCATTACCCTTGGGAGTAATAAAATGATCGATAAGAAAGAGTTTTCCCCCCAATTGGTTTCAGAAAAAGACCTTTAGTGTCTTGTGCACATAGACGTCATCGTGTGCCAGCTGTGGCAGGAGCATCCTGAAGCCTCCTGTCCACCCTTCCCTCCTGCTGGGGACACCTCATCGTGCTGCACCTGGCGCAGAGACGGTGTCTGGCTGTGTTCCCTGCATGTATTGGGCAGTTGCACAGGTTGCTGGGGCACATTAACCCTCTTGGAGAGCCACCAGCTCAGAGGGGGCTCGGAGTGTCCCCGCCACCCCCGCTGCCTTCAACCACCAGAGATCCCTGGTGGGATCCGGGTCCCTGTTGTGAGGACGCCTCTCAGCTCTGCGAGCTGGTGCTGGCTCTTCTGGGGTCTGCAGAGTCAAGGCCTGGTGAGCTTTGGGGGCTATGTATAATTCTGTGTAATTCTGACGGTGGACATTTTTCTGGAGCCTCTGGAGACTTTGTTCTGGAATTAAGATGGAATGTTCCAGAAGGCCTGGGCTTTCATATTTGTAGCTTCGGCAAATGCAGTGGGTGCTTGATAAACATGTACTTTAAAGGTGTTGTGAGCTAAGAAGACACTTTTGTGTCTTTGGGGCTAATTGTGCAGCTTTTTTTTTTTTTTTTTTGCCTAGCGTGAAGGAGGTATGCACCAACCTTTCAGCGCTCGCTGCAAGACCGCTGGCTTCTTAGCAGCCTTAGAAGACATAGCAAGTGAAGACAGTGGGTTGGTATCAGGGAAACCTTCACTTCAAATCAGACTCCTGTGAGCGTTCGGGCTGAAGGAGGTAGTGCCAGCTCCAGGTTTTACCTACAAGGAAACAGGCCCAGAGGTGCCGTGACTTGCCCTGGGTGACCAGCCAGGTTCCCACTGGGAAATATCAGCTCAGGGGCCATGTGCAATAGTTTGCTGCCTCGTTGGGAAGGTGCTGCTTTTGAGGCTACAAAGTTTAAAAGCACAGTCTGAAAAGCCACCACCTCAGTCGTATAGGTTCCAGGGTTTTCTCTTTGATGCATAAGAAGGCGCAGGGGGCTTCTTCTGCCTCCCCCACATGGGGTCCTATCCATTCCTCCCTGCTCTCTTAGCTCCAGCCTTCTGTTACGGACCAGCCCCCATCTCTGTCCCCTGCCCCACACTTGGCATCAGGCCAGCCTCTGTCAACTTTGTCACTGTCCTGGTGCCCGTCACACTTTGCAGCTGGGGCAGATGCACCTGCATGATGAGTCTGTATTGAGACAGTTTAAGACTCAGTGCCCTGGGCTGACAAAGTGATTGGAGGAGGTACCTGCCTTTCGCCCCACGTCTGCCTCCCACATATCCAGGACCCCCTATCCTGTATCTCTGTGCATATCTGTTCTTTAGAAGAGAATTTCTGAAGGGAGGCAAGGGGCTGGAAGGAACTTCCGGACTGTTCTGAGAGCCAGGCCAGGGTGATGAGAGCCAGGCTTCTGAGAGCCAGGTGGGGGTGAGGATGGGCTCCTCAGGTTGGGTTGAGGAGGTGTGGGCTTGGGCAGGTGGATAGGGATCAGGGTGTTGGATCTCTGTAATGAGATGCTCACCCTTGGGGGTGTACAGGACCATATTGGGCCTCAGTTTCCTCGTCTGTGAAATGTGGGCCTAGAATGGGTACCGCAGGTTTGAATCCCTGGAGCCTGTCCCGTTGTTGACCTACACCCTGACTCCTCACCATCATTTTTGAGGTGTTCCAGGTTTGTCATAGCATGAAGGACTTTATGGTAGAAGTCCCCAGGAATCCTCCATGAGTTCCTTTCTGCTCTTAAACCTCCCATTTGTAAAGAGGCGGCTTGCTTAGCCCAGACCTTTAGACCTCTGCGGATGGGCACATTTCTGGAGCACTGACGCTCCATGTTAAGCACTGAAGCAGATTATGGATGGATGATTATTCTGAAGGTGCTGGGCTTTTCCCAAGTTGCACCCACTGCTGTCTCAGGCTTTCCAGGGCTCCCCACCCACCCTGGTTATCGGGGCACCGAGTGATCACAGTCAGCAATGCTCACTGGCATCTTATTTCTGCTGTAAAACTTGGCTCTTCTGTGTGCCTGCCTCTCACCACCACCTGTCTCTTCTCATTCATTACTTCAAATCAGCTGCAGACAGGAAAATTGGACACCTGTGCCTAGAAGTATGTATACATTGAAAGCAAGTAGGCCTGGAGTGAGGGCCTGAGGGCTTCTATAAGAATGCTAAGGACACCTGTCATATATTGAGGCTCGCTAGGTGCCAGATGCCGGAGGAAGCATTTTATGTATATTATCTTATTTCTTCCTCACATCCATTCTAGGCGACACAGATGGTTTTATTCCCATTTTACAGATGAGAAATAAAATCACAGAATGGTCAGGTTAGTTGTCTGAGATCGTAAAGCTGGGAGAGAGTGCAGTTGGATCGAAATGCAGGTCTGCCTGACTCCAAAGCCTGTTAACACTTGGTTTGGATTGCTCAGAAGACATTTTTTGCTACATCCCAACTTTGTGCAGAGTTGCAGTTGCAGAGCATCAGGCCTCTTACACTAGATACAAAGGAGGAGCTGTATCCTGTGAAGATCTGATCACAGAGGAAATACCTGTTTCTTATGGATGTATTTTATAGGATGAAAGAATAGTTTGGAATATATTTTCTATACCGTAAGGCATGGGAAGTAGTCCTTATTAACAGCTGTGTTGATGATGAACTTACTATACAGTCAAATATGCTTTAAAAATAATTTTTTACGAACTGCCTGTGTTTCAGATGACACACGCTTTGGGCCCATCAGGAAGACCCTGCAGGTTGCACAGTGTGAAAACCCCTGTTTTAGACAAAGCACGGATGAGGTGTCTCCGTTATCAGGAAAGGTAAAATCTGGCAAGGACATCCTAAGGACTAGGCTATAGGACGGGCTTGCTCAAGGAAGCACAGAACGCATAGTGGCTCCAGAGCGAGGCAGGGAGGAATGGGTCTTTAACAGGAAGTGGGGAGAATGGGGTCAGTTGTCCAGATAACAAAGCATAACAGCTGCGGTTGTCATAAACACGCATTTTGCCAGAAAGTAACCTAGTGCGTGACATTTGGGCAGTTATGTCTTGTTCGAGAGCAGCTGCCATCTGGGTTTCTAGCACTGTTTTGGCATATCTGCTTGTGTCATTAGCCAACGGGTTCTATTAGGCAAAAGCATTGATTCAGTTGATTTACTGGGTCTTTGGATGAATTGCTTTGGCCTGAATCGCTCATGATTCACTTTACTCCTGTAAACCCATTTTTTGGAACTTGTAAATGTAAAATTATACCAGTTTAACTTAGTAACACCTAGTGTTTATAACCTGCAGAAGAGTGTATCCATAAGCTTTCATCACATACCCAACCACCCCAAGCACTGCCAGGCCACCATGTTCTTCCCATGGTGACGGCAAAGGTGCAGAGGGCAAGTGAGTATGTGGGACGAGTCTTAAGGCCTAGGCTTGGGACTGGCACATGGTCACTTCTCCCTCATTCTGTTGGTCAAAGCAAGTCTCCCACTCAAGCCAAAGGGAGAAGCTGCAAAGTCATTCATGTGACCAAAAGTAGAATATGGGGCAAGGTAATAAACTGGAACCAATAGTGAGATCTCTACCGAAAATAGTAATTAACTGCTTGCTTACCAAACACCTCTTGTGGGCCGGGACTATATCCATATTTAAAAGAGCTAACATTTGTTTGGCACTTCTATGGGCGGCTCTTTGAAGGACTTTATGTGAATTGACCACTTCGTGCTCACAGCATGGGTCCTGTGAGCATTCCCCATTTACATCCAGGGAGAACAGGAGAGGATTATAATGACTTGGCCAATGTCAAAGCCAGGTTCTGGCTTTGGCACCCAAGCTCCAATGCTATATGTGATTTATTACCATCAAGGATTTCTTTTGAGAACACAGAGGCCCAGATCACTTGAGTGACTTGCCTGAAGTCACCAGGTGGACATCGCGTTGGTATCCTGGCCCGCAGGACCGCTGACTGGCTTCCTTCTACTGTGCTGTGGCCAGTGAGGGATAATCGGGGGTCTTGGCTTTGTTCTGTTGACTTGACTGCATTGTGATCAAAAGCGTAAAACTCCAGGTACAAGGTTGAAGCTGATAATCTGTTGTTTGTACGGGACTCTCCAGGCTTGCTGCTTCTCAGTCTCAGAGACAATCTTATGATGTCTTTGAGCTAAATATGAAAAATGTTCCTTCTTGTAGTTGTTGATGAATATTCCTTGAAGAAATGTATTTCCATATACATAGCCCAAAGAGAAATGTCAGCAGTGAGACATGCTAATCAGAAGAAAGCCTTGTGTTTTAGTAAAGGTTACTTAAGACCCATCAAATTTTTTCCCCTTAAAACATGCAAGTAAAATAATGTAATTAGCTATTTTTTCCCTCTCCCCTCCCAGAGGGTAGATGGAAATGGTCTACCTAAATGAAGCTATTTATTTAAATCTGTCCAGATTTCTTTTGAAGTTTTGTACATCTTTCTTTTGCTCTATCAGCTCATAGCTACAATAATTTAATAAGTTTCTCCTAGGGTGAAATTGGATGCCCTTTATCGATCTTACACCGAGGGGGCATTCAATTACTTACTCTAAAGTGGTATTTCTGGGTCTCTCAATTACAATTTTGTTATAAATGGCTTGCTAATGATGCTTGGGGTGCATAGGTTAATAGGGGGCATCCTAGCCAGGGCTGGGTAATTGAACGCTTTCTATTTTGGGACCAGTCATCTGATCTCGCAGGGGGGTACGGGTTCCCACACTCACTGTCTGCCTCCATAGGGCGCAGCACTGAGCCCAGGCTGGGAAGCGATCTCACTGAAATGTATACCTGAGTACTTTGGTTTAGTAGCTGCATGGGAACGCCAAGGGTCCTCGCTTATCTGAGGACTGGCACCAAAATGTGGACATTCCAGACAGGCAAAGTGCAAGGGACATGCGTCACTTTATATTTTAAGGAAGAACCACCGAAGTGTTAGGTTTCTGCGTGACTGTTCTCAGGGTGATTTGTGGCGGATGGAAAAGGCCAATTCACGAGTATAATGGCAGTCCCTTTTCCCTTCAATACAGTCACAGTAATTCGATTTTTCTTCATGGGTTATGTTAGTTAATAGTAATACGTATTGTAAAGATCCTTTCGAGAGAATACATGGCATGCATCCTTTTTTTGCCCTTGAACAAATCTCAGCCCTGACTCTTGCCTCCCGGGCCCTACAGGACCTGGCTCCTGCTTCCTCTCTCATCTGGTTCCTACCCCTCACCTGCCCCAAAGCCCAGGGTTCTACCTTCCTGGTGGTCCCCCTCGGCTTTGATCCCCAGCTTCTCCCCTTCATGGGGTCTTTGTTTCTCCCGATCCCCACACGGATGGCTTCCTTCTTGTCATTCAGGTGGCCCCTCCCAACTAGTCTTCCCTGGACATCCTGCTGCTGGACCCCTTTTCTTCTGGACTGCAAGTCTCACCTGGGGGTGGAGTTCAGTGCACAGAACAGCCCCTGATGCAAAGAGTTATCTGGCCCTAGTGCTGCCTTGGAGAATGCATGTTGTCATGGTTTCATTGTATTCTTTGTATTTTCTTTGTAGCGTTTATTGTTGTCTGGGATGATCTTACACCTTTGTCATGTTTATTGTCTGTTGCCCTGTAGCCCCTCACTCCTGGTGGGATGTAAACCCCAGGTGGGGAAAAGCCTCCCTGTCCTGGTCACTTTTGTACCACTCCCGTCCGGTCAGACAAGGTTTGGGCTGGAAGCCTCAAAGCTCCAGGCTCTGCACTTACAGGGCCCCAGCTACGAGTGGTATATAGTCATAGGACTTTTTTTTTTTTCATTGACATCAAGGGGTATCTTATATACTAAAAACCAGTCGTATGTTTTGGTAAAACTTGTAAATGTAAGATAGTTTTATGTTTTTTTCTCAAAGAGGGTCCCCCTGATGTTTCCTCATGCCAGCAAACTCCAACTCTCCAGACACCAGCTGGGTGTCCAACAATTCAGTTCAGTTCATAGTAACTACCTGGAGCTCGCACAGACCCCATAAGTTAAGGGCTCGGGCCCCCAAGACTGCCCCCACTTCAGACGCCAGTTGCAAGTACTGGGTCCCTAGGCTATGCAACTTCTGTCTAACCTAACTACAAATTCTCTCCTTAGGTCTGATAATTCAGCTAGAACAAGGCAGAAAATTCAGGAAAATGCCTTCTTTACTATTACCAGTTTGTTGTAAAGGATACTTACTGCTCAGGAATAGCCAGATGGAAGACGTGCGTGGGGCAAGATATGGGGGGATGGGCGTGGAACTTCCATGCCTTCCTCTCTGGGCCAGCCACCTCCCAGCACCTCCAAATGTTCACCAACTAGAAGGTTCTCAGAATCCTGTCATTTCGGGGTTTTTAAGGCGGTTCCATGACATAGGCGTGATGAATAAATCATTGGCCCTTGGTGATGAACTCACTTGCCTCCCTGGAGGTTGGGTATGTGGGGCTGTAAGTCCCAAACCTCTGACTGTCTAACCGAGGCTTGTGCTTTCTGGCCACCAGCCCCAAGCTGAAGCTCTCAGGGGTGCTGCCCAGAGTCACAGTATAAATTCCACTGTGGTCGAATGGGGGCTTGTTATGAATCACAAAAAAGATGTTCCTCTCACCCTTTCACTTAGGAGATTCCAAGGGTTTTAGGAGCTATTTGCCAGGAACTGGGGACAGAGACCACATGTTTATTTTTTATTCTGTTACTCCCCATCTTCTATTGGTTTAGGGCCCTCAGGTCCACTGTATCTGCAGCACTGGCTGGTCCACACTTGCTCTTCAGAAAAGATCTGCTGAGCACAAGAACAAACGAATGTGTCATCACCCCAGTTCTCTGCTCCCCAATTTATGTTTAAGAAGCAAGACTGGAAGAGGCCAAGCTGGAGTGTGCAGCCACCCAAAGGGTACAAATGCTTGGGCTCGCCGAATCCCGGAGCCTCCCGTTAAGACTGTCAGCTTCCCCAACTACCCAGATCTGTTCACTTCCTTGGCTTGTAAGACAAACCTTTGTTTTTGTTTAGGAATATTTTGCCCATTCTGTTGGGTCCAGATTTTTTTTTCTTTTTTTGTATGTTGTTGTCTTGGGGCTTCAAAGACTGTTTTGAAAAAAAATCTAATTAGACTTTCTGCAGCCAGAGACACAGAAGGGTGCGAACACGTTCCCCACTGAGATCCTGGTTGGAGCCTCCTTTTAGCCCTGCTTGGCCTTGTCTTCAAAATGTAAAAAAATGTTTTCTTGGCTTAGTGATAGGATTTCCAAGTAGGGGATCTTGCCCTTTTGTTTCTTTGGTTTGGAAGAATTGTTTGTACCAAGTGATGGGTCAAGGGTGGTGGAGCGAGTGGGAGGCAGAGATTGCCTTGAGGCTCCTGTCACGTCCCTCCAACCTCTCTGAGATGAGGGGCAGAGCCCCGGATGTTGGCCTGGCTCCAGAGCGGTTTGCTCCCTGCACACCCCCGCTCCTCTGCCCTTCCTGGAACCGCCCTGACCCCAATCTCAGCCTTTACTAACGAGCATTTCTCAAGTTTGTTCCTTGCGACATTCGTGAGAATTCCATGGCCAATTATGTTTTGGAAGGTTTGCGTATTATATTCCTCCCCTGCGGAGCCACAGGGCTCACTGGCATATTAAAGGTTCCCCCAAAAGTCCTGTTGTAAAGAAGTCTGTTTGATTTTTGGCCTTCTTACCTTTTCACCAAGTAATTTAGGCAAAGAACACATCAACAACGTGCAGAACACTGAGTGGAAGACATTTTAGGAAGCACTGCTTGGCTATTTCTTGGTCAACGTATTTTGATAAAGCATGGGTTTTCTGTCCAAGGGAAGGGAAGGGAAGATTCCTGCTGGTGAGTCCTCATTGTTCAGCCTTCTAGCTAATACGAGGAGGCCTTAACGCAGGCTTAGTTAATCTCACTTTCTCTGGGGACAAGCAGGACTGTTTGAGGGCTGTGCATGTGGGCCGAGCTGGAGGGGTGAGTCTACTGCTCTTGGGTAACCCTCAAGCGCAGTAGGAAAAGTAACATGATAGGATCTCCCCTCTTTGATTCCACTTTGAATGTTCTTGGCATTCACTGACAATTAAAAATCATAATAGTAATGGTCATTGATGATGCTATTATTAAAATTGCCTACCTTTTAGGGGCCGCTAATAACTACATGTAGGCATTATGCAAACTCTCCACATGTCTTAACTAATTTAGTACTTCCTGTACGCTTATAAGGGAGGTACTCTTACCGTAATTTTACTAGGGAGGGAGGCAAAGCTCAGAGAGGTTATATAGCCCACTCGAAGTCACACAGCTAATTAGTGGTGGTTTACCATTATTGGAAACTAAGTTTTTTTTTTTTTTTTTTTTTTTGCTTTTTTTACAACACCTACAAAGAAGTGTCATGTGGGCAACAATACATTTTATAACCACAGAATTCTGATAATGGATTTTTAAGAATCATGTTTTCCCCAGGATGATGAAAGTGAAAAATGATTTCAGGGTTTGAGTGTTATGTTACTCGGGAATACTGCACGTTGGGTTTAATTGCTTAATAACTTAAAGTCAAATGGTTTTTTTATATGATACACTCTGCTGAAGGAGAGAATCATTGCAGTGTTTCTAAATTTTCATTAACTTTTGCCTCCTAAACTGATAATAAAGGTTAGTTCTCGGTAAGAGACTATTGGTGCTATTGGGAGAGAAAAAAAAACATATTTTCTCCGCATGCTCCTACCCTACCAGGTGCTTTTTTGGATATTTTGTTGATTTAAAAGCACAGGTACTTCAGTTAATCTCTCAACTTTTATAGTCACTGACTGGGCATGCATCTGAGAAGGACTGTGACGTTCTGAGATTTGGGGATTCAGTACTTAGCTGTGGCATGGCTGGGACGTTAAAGGATATATGGGCGGTACAAAATCTGAGGTGTTTGATATGAGGTTGGCGGTGCTGGTGCTGCAGCCACATTTGGTGGCAGAGATTGAGCCCCAGAGCCAAGCAACTAGGACCTCAAAGCTCTCCTTTTATCCTGTGTGATTTTCTATGACTTGCTTGTGACCGAGCAGATTAACAAAAACTACCGGGAGTAGAAAAGAGAACTTGTCTCCTTGGAAGGTGATCCCAGGGATATTGCTATCATCATGTAATGGAATAAAACCTCTTTGTTGTTTAGGTAATCCGACATCTTAAAGATTTTGCTCCCCCTGAAGAGGAAACATTTTAAAGGAACACGGGATGTAGAAGAAGAAATCTTCACAGGCCTCTCCAAGGATGGCATGCCGACCCATCCCTCACTGAGACCATGATCTCTTCTAATCTCTTGGATGTTTCCATGTTCTCCAGCGAGAATTCTTCTACTTTGTTTTGTGCCATGGGAAAAACCTGAAACAGGCAGCGTTGCTCCCAAACTTGGGGATTTTTCTAAGATTGTAGTGGCTCTTACAGAACATGACAATTGGAGATCACTTCTTTTTGTTGTCTTTCAAACTTGAACCAAAGAAGGCCCTTCCTCGTTCTCTAGTGCGTTGGTGCCTACTCATTTTTACATTATATTTGTTTCCGTTGCTGGTGCCTTAAAACCATCTTGTATAATCAAAAGACCTCCTTTAACGTTTTCCAGCACACCTTGCATATATCTGGGCTCCTCAGGGGCTCGCCCATGGCTCTGTGCGCCAGCAGTCCAAGGGCATTACCATGAGGCACTGCATTAATTGCTGCATACAGTTGTTGCCCAACAACGAGCGCCAACAGCAGGTGGGCTGCGGAGGAGGCCCTCTTCACAGTCACCCGGAGTGCCCCGCGTGCAAAGGCGAGAACAAAATCGTGCTTCGTGTGGACGGTAAGCAGATGAACTTGCTTGCTGTTCTCGAGGTGAGGGCTGAGGGGAACGAGAGCTGGGGCAGGTTTCTGCGCTTCAAGAAGGGGAAGCGATGCAGCCTCGTTTTTGGATTGATGATAATGACCTTGGTGATGGCGTCTTACATCCTTTCTGGGGCCCACCAAGAGCTTCTCATCTCCTCGCCTTTCCATTACGGAGCCTTCCCCAGCAATCCCAGCTTGATGGACGGTGAAAACCCGAGTGACGGGAAAGAGCACCATCACCAACCCTCTGTAAATAATATTTCGTATGTCAAAGACTACCCAAGCATTAAATTAATTATCAACAGCATCACAGCCAGGATAGAGTTCACCACTAGGCAGCTCCCAGACATAGAAGATCTCAAGAAGCAGGAATTGCACGTGAGTAGCCTTGTGCTAATCTCCATTTGCTGATTTTTTTTTTTTTTAAACAGATGCTTCCTTTATCCATCACCATCTTTGGGAACACAGTAAAGAAACGTGACCCAAAAATGTCTCAGGTGTAACAAGGGGGACTTGACAGCCTCATGGATCAGAGGGCACTGCCAGGGCTCTCCGTTGACGATGTTCGCCCCCAGGAAGGAAGTCCGGGTACCAGGGGCTCAGGGCCACCCCTTCTAGTAATGCCATCGTAGGACTTGAAAGGTGGCTGGGGTGGTTGCCGTTGTTTTTGTAGATCACTGTCGTCCTGTTCCTATTGTGTCCTCATTAGTACTTTTTCCTCGAATGGGGTCATTTAAATACGCACCTAGTAAAAAAAAAAAAAAAAAAGATTCCAACTGTGAAATTTAATTAAGATTGCCGAGCCCAGCGCCGCAGAACGGATTTTGAGCCCGCTTTTACCTTCGTTCTCTCCCAAGTTTTAGTTTAATTTTGGGCCAAGGGAAAACGTGGCCACTTACCCAGGTCTGCTTTATTTTCGGGTTTAGCTATTGTCCAAGGAGACTTCTCGCGAGAACACCCGTAGCGAGCATCGGGCGTGACCGCATCGTGCTTAGAACGTGTTTTTCGCTAATTCGCCGCCTCCGGGTGTCTCTCTCCCCCTCTCTCTCTCCCGCTGCAGATGTTTTCAGTAATCCCCAATAAATTTCTTCCAAATAGCAAGAGCCCGTGTTGGTACGAGGAGTTCACGGGCAGGAACACCACCGACCCGTACCTGACCAACTCCTACGTGCTCTACTCCAAGCGCTTCCGCTCCACCTTCGACGCCCTGCGCAAGGCCTTCTGGGGCCACCTGTCCCACGCCAGCGGGAAGCACTTCCGCCTCCGCTGCCTGCCGCGCTTCTACATCATCGGGCAGCCCAAGTGCGGCACCACCGACCTCTACGACCGCCTCCGGCTGCACCCGGAAGTCAAGTTCTCCGCCATCAAGGAGCCCCACTGGTGGACCCGGAAGCGCTTTGGTGAGCGCATGCGCACGAGCCCCCCCACCCCGCCGCGAGGGGCGGAGCCTGCCACGAGGGGCGGGGCCTGCATGCGCATGCGCCTCTCCCTGTCCCGGCCTTCTGCCTCTTGCGCAACTTGGCCGCAACTTGGCCCACGTGGGTCCCATCTGTCCTGCCTGGGGGTCGGTGGGGCGGGCGCCAGGTGCGGTGGGGCGGGCTCCAGGTGCGTTGCTGAGCGCAGCCAGGGAGGCAGGGCAGCAGGAGGTGAGGACCCTCACCTGAGACGCAGAGAGCGCACAGTTCGCTAGTGGAGGGCCCCCTCCACAAACATCCGCGGGGCTGGACTCCGCTCCCACGCACCCCAAGGACACTTATTGAGTGCCAGCTGTATGCAGGGCAAGGGGAAGGTGCAGACTGGCAGCCGTTCTTAAGAGCTTTGGGACACCTGCCATCGGTGAGTGCCAGGTGCCAGGTGGGTGTTTCTCCGGGGGCACCCATCCCCAGCTCTGCAGCGCCACTGCGCCTGGAGTCCCCCCCCCTCCACCCCCCACCCCTCCCTGGGGGGACACTGTAGGAAGGAAGGGTGCCTCTCCGGGTGAGGTTTGAGCTGCTGCCTGGCTCCTCCAGGGCGTCGAACACTCCTCCAGCAGCCTCGGGGCTCATTTCCCTGAGCTGCTCTGAAGGAAAATCACATGGATGGGGTTCTGGGGGACCTCGCCTCCAGCACCCCTTCCGCGCAGGGGTGACTGTGGACACGGCCCCCGCCCAGCCTGAGCCACTCTGCAGCCCTCGGGTCACTGTTTCCTTTTCTTAACCTTTTCCCTTCTGCCAGGAGACGTTTGGTCACTTTGACAAATGTCAGAGGTGGGGAGGGATTCCAGGGCGTGTTTCAACGTCCAGGACCAGGTTGCTTAGAAGGGAATCTTAATGTGTTTTTCCTTTGTAGGGCCCAAGTGGAGCCCAAGTCCTGTTTGTTTCCTGACAAATTGACTTAATCCTTTTGATGTTCTTCCTGGAGCTAGCGGACAGAAGTGTAAATGTGTCTTTTGTGGTTTGGCGGAGGCAGCTGTGGGAGTCCCGGCTTCAGGGTTTCACGTGGGCAGGCGCTCTCCCTGTGGCGCTCACCATTCGTCCTAATGAGAACCAGCCTCCTGCTGGCAGGGATGAGGGAAGCGCAGGGGCGTGCTTCTGGGACCCGGGACTCAAGAGTCTCCTGGAACCTCTTGCTCTTGTGCGCATGGATGTTTTCTCTCCCCTTTCCATTGACCTTGGCAGCTGTGGTTTCGGGCAGTGTGTTGTTAATGTTGCACGTGAAAATCACCCATTTAAAAAATATTTTATTTATTTATTCATGGGAGACACCTGGGGAGGGGGGGGGCAGGCTCCATGCAGGGAGAATCCCAGGACTTGGACTCCAGGATCATGCCCTGAGCCAAAGGCATGCACCAAACCACTGAGCCACCTAGGGATCCCCAAAATTCACCCATTTTTAAGGCAAGGGGGTAAGTTTAGGCCGCATTGGCCAGTGCCAAAATAACTAGTGATTTCAACTGTTTGTCGCTGGGTTCTGGGACAATTCCCCTTGTTTGGACAGACAAGTTGCCTGATCAAAGAGGCTAGAGATAGAAGCTAGATAAAAACCACCTTCTCTGGGGCGCCTGGGTAGTTCAGTGGGTTAAGCATCTGCCTTCGGCTCAGGTCATGATCCCAGGATCCTGGGATTAAGCCCATGTTGGGCTCCCTGCTCAGCACGGAGCCTGCTTCTGTCTCTGTCCCTGTCCTGCTGGTTCTTTCTCTCTCTCTCTCTCTCTCAAAGTCTTCAAAAAAGCCCACAAAACCCAACTCCCTTTTCTGTTTAATAAAGTGTGTGCATTCTGAATGCTGTTGCTGCTCAGCCACTTTGGGGCCCCACCTGGTACGTATGTCAGCCAGCCCCAAAGGCTGGCCCTCTAAGCAGATGCATTTAGAGTTCTTGAATAGGTGTGCCATGCTTGAGGCTGCCGCTTGCAGCCGAATGGTGGTTTTCCACCCCTTGAGGTGAGCACCCGTGAAACATTCTCCCTGGGAGCCTCCTCCTGCAGTTTACTTGGATGGAGCCTAGGCTTCTGCAGCTGGGCCCCTGGCCTTCACGTCTCTCTCTGGTCACTCCCCAGGAGGCCGCCACCCAGCATTGGCAGCTTCGTGCTCAGTAACTCCTGCCTTTTGGTTCTCATAGGAATTGTGCGCCTGAGAGATGGGCTTCGGGACCGCTACCCCGTGGAAGATTACCTGGACCTCTTTGACCTGGCTGCACACCAGATTCATCAAGGATTGCAGGCCAGCTCTGCAAAGGAGCAGAGCAGGATGACCAGAATCATCATAGGTACGGCTTCTGTGTGGCTCCCTTCAGGGCCATCCCTGCCCTAGGGTGGCCCCCCACTCCTGCCAGGCCCCTTCTGCTCTGGGGCTGGCCCAGCTTTTGTTCTGCCTGCAGAACAAATGTGTGATGCCTGCCACCTCTGTGGAGGGTGCACTTCCTGACCTGGCCATCACTCTTACTCCTGTGTAAAATGTTCATATCACTGACGCAATTTGTCTAAAGCAAAACTATTTAGCAGACTTTTTAGTTCTGTGGAGGCTCCAGTATACCTGAAATGGCTTTTTATAAAAGTTGACATTTCTTTGTTTTTATTTAAATTAAGTACACATGCTTGGTTTCTTTTCATGACATACTGATCTAAGTTTGGATGGCGGATCATAAACGTAATTAGCCAATTAGTCATTGATTGAATATTGTGGCTATTGGAATCCCTGGCCCCAGGATGCAGTGAAGACAGAAGCAATCTCTCCAGAAACAAGATGCAGCCTTAACTCATAGTTGGTGATGAATTGCTGTTGAAAAAGCCTAGCCCTCATCAACTTAATGTCCTCAGACGTTCAAAGTGAAGTGGTTTGATTAATATTTTTTTTAATTCACAAAGTTTTATAAAGAGCCCCATTTGCTTTTTGTATTGGATTCAGCTTAGGAGAAGACATTTACCCACTTATATTTTCTGAAAGAGAGAAACCTGGCCACGTAGTTTACTTAAATTGGTTACCTGAGACAGGAATCTGTTTTTGTATTTTCCTAAATTTGTTATATTTTGATTCTCCAAATTGAGTGAATCTGTTAGTGACTGAGAGGGATTGTAATCAGCCACGTGAAAGCTTTCTCTTTGCTTTTGACTCTCCTGTCCAAGGAGAGAGGCTTACATGCCTAAGCCCTGATTTATTTATTGTTTTATTTTTTAAATCGAGTTCTGAGAGCCTGATGAGATCATATACCACCCCCACCCTGGTGTAAGTTGACTACTAGCTATTTTCTGGCTGCCTTGGGTCCACACACCTCAGATCACAAGTCTAATTAATATTTGACTGTGACTCCCACACTGTATGCCTCTGGGAGAGTCTCATGTTCTTATGAAAGAGCTAAAAATATACATCCTAGGGCTAGGAAATAGAGACTAAGATAATGAATGAAAAAGGAAAGCCTTAGTTTGGTTTTCTAATTTTACTTATTTCCAGATTTAAAAAGGAAGATTAAAGAAAAAAATTCTCTGCTCTGATATTTACCTAAAGCAGAGTTTGGGGAGTTTTCTGGTAGTGGAGAGGCGTGGGGAAAGCTGGCAGTGAGCCCGCCCATGCCACCAGCCACGTGCCACATGATGAGTCAGTCTCCATGTTCCTGAGCTCAGCCTGCACATCCGTACAATGGGCTTGTTGGAGCAGCCTTCACTCTGGCTTCTCCAGGCCCTGGAATGTGATTCAGCTCTGCTTCAGCTTCCTCTGGTTAGGTCTTCATCTTGGCTCAGGGATCAGAGAGAGCCTTTCTTCAGTAGTCTGGGCTAATGGCTGGAGTCATGAAGGATTCAAGTGGCCGGGTTCTCAGGCGTGGGACAGGCTCTAGACACAATGAAAGGCCACTGCCTCTACTCTCACGGCACCCGCTCTGCCCTGTCCAAGTGCTCACCTGAGGATCTGATTATTTATAGAGTTGTCAGCCTTCCCCTGGGTCATAAGGTCAGAGAGGAGAGGGCGTTGTCTGTCTTATTTCCCTTCTCTATCCTGATGCCAAACAGTGCCAGGCACCTAGTAGACACCAGATGAATGCTTTTGGGATAGATGGATATGAAATGAATGGAGGATGAATGAATGGGTGGATGGATGTATAGATGGACCGTGGATGGACCAATATTTCTGTGGTTAGAGAAGTAGTTTATGAGATTTGACAGAGTTATGCTAATTTGGTTTTAGATACTTCTTCTGTTCTAATATTCTTGTTTCAGTGTGAGTAGAATTTTCAAAGGACTTCTGATTGACTTGTGTTTCCTGCATTCTGTGGTATTCTCTTAAAAAAAAGAAAAAGAAAAGACTAGAACAGAAGTGCTCACCTGGATGTGGTTGCACATCCAACAGAATAGATAGGACCCTGCCAACTCCCTGCATTACTGTGATGCACTCATCACTGATCAAAGACCCTAGGCTTTTGGCTCAGATTTTCCCTGAATAAGTGATTTTGAGATGTATCAAATACCCATGTAAAATGTCGGGAAATTGAATTTGTATGTAATTGATCGATTTGCCTTTCTTTCTAAATCTCTGAAGACTCTCCTAAAAAAAAAAAAAAAGTCAGGGAATTGGTTCAAGTATCTGAGTGAGAGATGTTGAAATGTGTATGTCTTGGCCTCATCGCTGTCCTAGAATGTGTACTTAACATTTTATCCCTTATTCATGCAGACCATAGTAAAACAAGGGCAGGACCAACTTCCTGTCCATCTAGTCAGCATGGAATGAATGCCAGCTGTGTGCAGGGTGATGGGGTGGGTGGACACACAGGACAGGGCACCCAAGACTGAGGTCCCGTGAGCCTTCCCGCAAATTCTTTGTCTCATTTGGTCTCAGAGCGTGCCCAGACCCAGCCGTTGGTTGTGATTTCAGGGAAAATCTGATGCAGATTGCATCTGATTTCCTAATGAGGGTCAGCTTACCCAAACTACTCCTTCATCCTTGGTGCTCTTTGAAGGAAACCATCTAGTACATTCTCAGTGGGCCCTTAAAATGCCACAGAGCTGTGCACCGTGAGCAAAGTCGTGTCGTGAAATTGGGACCCAAATGCTGCTAGAAGGTTTTTTTTTTTTAAAAAAAAACACATCCTGGAGAGGAGCTGGGAGGAAGCAGATGCTCAGTGTTGCCTGGATCACCTTGCTTTCCAGAGACCGCTGGGCGGATGCAGGGGAGGTCACTGTGGCAGAGGCTGCTTGTTGGCCTCATCTTCCTGGAGGCCTGCATGCTGGTGGTGGAGCCAGGTCTGGCCCCCAGCACAGGCTGCCCTGCGGGGGCCCGGAACTCAACCCTGCTCATCCACAGCATTCTCTGTTTCTAGGGGAGGCCAGCGCCTCCACCATGTGGGACAACAATGCGTGGACGTTCTTCTACGACAACAGCACGGACGGAGAGCCGCCCTTTCTCACCCAGGACTTCATCCACGCCTTCCAGCCGGACGCAAAACTGATTGTCATGCTCAGGGACCCCGTAGAGAGGTGAGCACTCTGGAGTTCTCGTATCTGGGGCGAAAAGGCAGTTTTGAAGCAACAGCCTGACTTCTTGTCATAAATAAGATCTGCTCTCTCTCTCTCTTTTTTTTTTAAATAAACAAGCTTAACTTGCAATGTTACTGCTATTTCTTATGTAAATGTTATTGTTGGTGCAATCTTCACTGGGTCTAAACAAATTGTGGATTGTTTTCTTAGACATCCTGCCCATGGTCTGGCTGTGGGCCCTCACCCTCTGGCCTGTTTGACCTGGGGACGTGGGACCCCCACCTTGGGTACTGTCAGGGCATGTGAAACTCCCTTGGACTCAGGGGATGTCAGGGTTTGGCGAGGGGTTTGGTTCCCATGATTCCTTGTGTGATGCCTTTATCTCCATCAGCTCTCAGCGTTTAGTCTCAAAGAAACTGTGTTCAGTCTCCAGAAATGACAGGCAGAGCTGCTTTGTTGTAAAAAAAAGCTGGGGCTGCCCAGTATGGCCAAGACACAGCCAGTGTGGGACTGGGCGATGCGGGGGTGGCTGGGCCAATGCTGGCGATGCTTGAGTCACGACAAAGCCAGTGTGCGTGGCAGAAACTGAAGGCTTCAAGGACCTGACGATCACTTTGCAGTGATCCACGTGGTACTGCCACATCAGAGGTAAGGGGCCCTCAGGCTGGACCCTTGGGCGGGAGTCCCCCCACCCAAGATGACCACTCCAAATCTGTGAGAATACCCCTCCTGTTTTGAAACCACATCTGTCTTTTGGGAGCATCCACGCTGGATCTGTTTATTCACATAGAACCATCTAGACCCAAGTGTCACTCTCCCTAAATGGGAGGGCCAGCCAGGCGTTGAAGCCGACCCAGCCCTCTGTGTCCCTTTTCACTGGGTGACCTACCTCTTGTTATGGGTTGAATTATGCCCTTCACAAGGATGTGTTGTAGTTCTACCCCCACCCCATACGTATGAATGTGATCTTGTTTGAAAACGGGTCTTTGCAGATGGACTCAAGATGAAGTCATATTGGGTTAAGGTGGCCCCTGATTGGGTGGTTGGTGTCCTTATGAAAGATGAAGTTTGGACCGGGGACACACAGACGGGGAGAGCACCAGGTGGTGTTGGAGGCAGAGATCGGAGTGATGTGTCTACACGCCAAGAAACACCTAGGATTGCCAGCCAGTGCCAGCAGCTAGAGATGGGCCTGGAACAGACCCTCAGAACCCTCACTAGGAACCCATCCCGCCGACACCAGGATTTCAGACTTTTAGCTTTCAGAAATGCCAGAGAATGAATTCCTGCAGTTACAAGCCACGAGACCGTGGTAGCAGTGCTGTGGTAGCAGCCCTAGGAATCTAATACACCCCTAATGCCTTCCTTGGATGGCACACATTCCTGGCCTCACCATCCTTGCCAGTGATGCTAATAAGACGTGTTTGCTGTGGAAATTTTAGGAGGTACACTGGAAAGCTGTGTCAAGGAAAACTATTATAAAAAGAATCTATAATCTCCCACCCAATAGCTGGTATTTGTATTTGATATATTTTCTTCCAGACTGCTTATCTATGCAGATAAGTGGTGTGTGTGTGTGTGTGTGTGTGTGTGTGTGTGCACACAACTGTATGCACATGCGGTTTCCTGTCTCACTTTGTTTCACATTGTAGCCCCCAGAAAGATATGCCTTAAAGTCCTGCCCTCTTCTCCCTGAATTTATCTCTGTCCTTCCGGTGGAGTTCTTGAAATGGGCCCTGCGGCTCCGAATGTGATCTAGTCAGAGGAAAGAGAACTGGATTGTTCCCCGCCGTCTCCACCCTGGCAGCCCTCCTGGTGCTACGCCATAAGGCACATCTATATGGCCCAGATGGTTCCACTCTGGCTCTGTCCTTTCAGCCTCAGGAATCTATCTGGTCTGGTTCTGAGGCAGCCACTGACCTCAGAGCAGCTCCCTCATCCTACCTGCCAGTTCCCACACTTGGGAAGCAGGGAGTTTGGCCCTTCTGCTCATGGAGTGGGCCAGTCCCCCTTGGCCTGAGAACAGTTGACACAAACCAGTGGTGCTCTCGTGTAGACATGATTATGTAACTGTCAGCCTTGAAAGGAGAGGCTCAGTGACTAAGTGACCCCTCGCCGCCCACTGAGGTGTTTTCACAGCTGTTCTGCCTCCCTCCCCCAGACAGCCCCGAGCAGCAGTTCACAAGGTCGGAACATTCTCTCAAGAGTGCACTTTCTGCTCACTGAATGTCTTCCTGTCACATCTCCTGAGTTTCTCCTTCTGAGGAAGGTCACGCCGTGCCTCTACCTCAGAGGGCCAAGACTGTGACATTTTGTCACTCCCTGGGCATAGAGCAGTGGGAACTAGTCTGCATCTGGGCCTGTTCGGTGTGTGTCCACCCTGTTCTAGGCCCTGGGCTTGGGGAGCTCACGGCTGGTCGTAAGCCAGCAATGGCTGTGGTGGTTATGGCCTGTGGAGTCAGCCAGAGCAAGAGGGAGGGTGAGAAGTGTACAGAAGCGAGAATGAGCTCCAGGTGGGGAGGCCTAGAAAAGTTATTCCGGAGGAGCTGAAGCCAGGCTGGATTTTGGAGGATGAGTAAGAATTTGCCGAGCCAACAAAGAAGGAACATGCTTGAGGAAGAAGCATTCTGAGCAGGGAATCAGTGTGGACAAAAGTAAAGACCATGGGTTTTCTTGTTGGAGAGTGGAGTCAACCTCCCTACGTGTCTCTCTCTCCCTGCAGATCCGATTCTACCCCTGAGGACGCAAGTGCCATAAGGCGAGCCTTTGAATAGGGACGGGTCCTGGTGCCACCCAGGGTCAGACAGTGAGCCAGAAGCAAGACCTGCCCAACTTGCCTCTCAGACCTAGCCAAAGTCTGCCTTCCTTTAGAAGGCTCAAGGGCCACAAATGGCCATTCCAAGTAGTCACCATGTTTTGTTTTGTTTGTTTGCTTGCTCGCTTTCTGGAATAAATACTGTTTATTGTAGGAGCTGAAAGTGAAGGTTTCTTGCTATTCTGGTCCTCAACAGAGATAGTTCATCAGTTCACAGATTTATTGAGCCCTGACAACATGTTGGGCACTGTGCTGGGTGCTGAGCATATACATATCCATGAAGGATGAAGGCCCACCCATTGCCTACTCTCTGGGAGCTGGCAATTTTTCAGAGAAGTGAGGCATTGACTGTCTCACGTGGATGTCATGGTGCTGAGGAGGGGAGTGGTGGGATGCCATGGTGGCAGCCTTCGTTAGGAGGCTACCCCACTCATTGGGTTGCCTGGTGTATTACATTAGTCATCTACTGCATAACAAATCACCCGAAAACTTAGCAGATTAAAACACCACACATTTACTATTGCAGTGTCTTTGGGTCAGAATCTGGCACAATTTACTATGTCTTCTCCTTCAGGATGTCTCCCAAGGCTGCCATCAAGGCTTCACCAGGGTGAGGTCTCATCGAAAGGCTTGATTGGGGAAGGCTCTGCTTCCAAGCTCACATGCTCATTTGTGAAATTCAGTTTCTCAATGGCCTTTGGAAGGAGGGCCTCCTTTCTTTGCTGACTGTTGGCTAGGGGCTACCCTCAGTGCCTTGCTTCTGGGTCTTGCCAACATGGCTGCTTGCTTCATCACAACCAGCATGGGGGAGAATCTAGCAGGTCAGAAGTCATAAACTTTTGTAATCTGATCATTAGAGTGTCAGCCCATCACCTTGACCACATTGTGTTGGTTAGAAACAAGCTACAAGGGCCAGGCCACACCCAAGGGGAGGGGATTACAGGGTGTGCATGCCAAGGAACGGGTTATTGCCTACCACACCTGCACTCCATTTCCCTGTCTGTCCCTCCAGGAACCTGGGTGCCAGCTCTGCAGCCTGGAGCAGGGAAGCTGCCAGTACGGCACCGTGTCCGGAGGCAGAACCTCCACATGCACAGTGAAGTGTGTGTTCATATGCACATATTCTGTGTGGGTTACTGACAGCAACAGCTGTTCCATTTGCTTTTTAAACATTGATGAAAAGTATACAACAATAGGAATTTCTTTTTTGGAACCCGTGACTCATGGCCTATCTTAAATGTCTGGCTTATTTGCCATCCCTGCCGGAAAGGATGATAGATACTCAATGTTTAGATTTTTTGAAGAAACAAACACTTGGAACTCCTGTTCCCATTGGTCTAACTGGGTCCCAGGCCATCAGCCCACATGGGTCGTTCTGCGACCTTGCTCTTCTGCAAGGGAAGGTTCCGGGGGTTGCTTGCTGCAGTGGGATTAGGCTAAACTGTTCTTTCTATCTACAAATTGGTGGGGTGGGGGTAGATTTTATTTCAAGTTCCAGATTCACATTTAGCCTTTATTTCTAGAATTGATCTGAGGTAGAGGATTTTAAAAATGTTGGAGTTGCAAAAAGAATCAAATCAATCACTTTTAAGTTTTCAGAGAAAGATATAAATGGTAAGTTCGCCTCCAGTCCCCCACCCCCACGCCCTGGAGGAGAACAGAAGAATAGTGGGACGTGGATAGGCTGGTTCTTATGGCCAGAAGGGCCAGCCAAATTTCACGCTGCAAGTTTCTCTATGTAAGGGATAATGACAGTTTTAAAAAGTGAAGCATTTGTAGGCCAAATTGGCCTAGTTAATTAAGAAGCAGATTTTTTTCTTACTTTAATTCGACTCTATAGTAAGAAAAACTGTTCTTTTCAACACATCTCCCGTTAGCCTCCTGCCTCTTCATTTGTGAGCGATTGACAGAGTTTGCCTTGTAATTTGGAGGCCGCCTCCATTAACTGTGACAAATGGCTGGGAGGTGCTGAGCTCTCTGATGTAGTTCATTCAGGGGATCCTTGGAGTAGGGTCACACACCATCTGTTAAAGATTTTACCGTATCCATTTTTTGGGTTTAATTCCATGTGTAGTCTTTTTTTTTTTTTTTAAGATTTTTAAAAATTTATTCATGAGAGAGAGAGAGAAAGGCGGAGAAGCAGGCCCCCTGCAGGGAGCCCGATGTGGGACTCGATCCCGGGTCT